GTTCCCTCTCTAGGAAGGGAGGAAGAGAGGGAGGGAGGGAGGGGAGGGAGGGGAGGGGAGGGAAGGAAGGAGGGGAAGGGAGGAGGGAGGGAGGGGGGACGAGGGAGGGGTGTGAGCAGAGTAGATTTTCCCTCGCCTCCCTCGGTCCGAGGCCCAAATAGACACAGACAAGCCTGCTCGCCCTCCCCTCCCCCCACGGGTTCCCAGCACCACCATTTTGCTCGCTTCCTTCCCCGCACCACCACAGCGCGCTCTCCCACCACCGCCGCCGCCGCCGCCGCCCCCCCTCAACACACACACACCCGGCCGCGGCCTCCCCGGGCTCGCCTTTCCTTCCCCCCACCCCGCGCCCTCCCGACTACGGATGGCACCCCCACCCCACCTCCAGTTTGGGGGGCTCTCTGCCCCCGAGGCTGCTTAAGAGGCCCCCGGAGGAGAGGGAGGCACATAGAAGGCTACGCGGAGGCGCGGAGCCTCCATCTTGCGCCGCTGCGCGTTCTCCATTTTGGGCCACCCATGGGGGGGGGGGGGGTCCTCCGCCGAGGCCCCGGGGGAAGAGTCGGGCGAGGGAAGCGAGAGAAAACCTTCAGCGAGGGTAGTCGCACGGAAGCGTCCTGCGCTAAAAAAGCGGCTCGGGGAGGAGGTAGGCAGGCAGGGGGTGGGGGGAGACACTGGAAGTTCCCTGCAAGTGTTGGGGTAGCGACTTGGGGGCGGAGAAGAGAGGCAGGGGGAGCCGCGGGGGGGGGCGGATGGGGGGAGCGAGGCGACGACTCGGTGCCCGCGGCCGCTCATTCCATGGCTGCCCCGCACGGAGCCCGAGGAAGCCGGCCGGCCGAGCAAGCGAGCGAGCGACCGACAGGGCCGCGAAATGGCCCCGGAGCGCCGGGCCCCGCTCCTCCCTCCCGGCCGCACGCTCCCTTCGCCCGCCCGATCGCAAGCACACACACACACACACACACACACACACACACACACACACACACACACACACACACACCCCTCCCGGTGGGCCGCGCGCCCTCCGGGTGCCCCTCCAAACTTCTAGAAGCTTCGCCTCCGCCATTTTATAACTTACCTCCCCCCTCAGCGTATACAGAGGCAGCAAGGAGACCGTGGGCCTCCCCCACTCCTTCCTTCTTTCTCAGGCCGGGGGCTTCTTCACCCCTGGGCTGGTACAAGAATTTTTTTCCCCTTCCTCTTCTTTACACCCTTGAATTCTACTCGGGGACGGAAGCTCCCGCGGTTCTAGAGCGGTGGGGGGGGGGGTGTTTGAAAGTGGCGGTCGGATCCGGCGGGGTTTTTTTTTTTTCTTTTCTCTTTTTTTTTCTTTCTTTTTTTTTTTTTCTTTTTTTTTTTTTTTTTTGGTGGCGCTTCGGGATTGTTTGGGGTGTTCGCTCTTCGGCGACTTGGAGGCGAATGGAACGCGCAGGCGCCATCTGTCGGCCACCAACCCGCGCCCAGCTCCTGTTGGGGGGGAGCGGCATCTAGCGGCGGCGAGCTGCCATTGCAGCGCGCGCCTCCCCGCCCTCCCACCCAGCCGCCTCCTCCCTTGTCGCCGACCAATCGCCAGCGAGCGACTCCCGGCTCCGGCGTCTCGGACGCCTCCAGTGAACTAGGCGCCCGCAGGGGCGCGCCGCCGAGTGGGGTAAACAAGGTGGCGTGCCCGCGCCTCACTTACTCATTCGTTGGGACGCGCTTCCTCCCGGCGCGGACTGGATGGGGCCACGGCTGCTGTGTCTGCGGCGCCAGGGAGGAGGTCGCCCGGAGGCCAGGAGCAGTGTCCGCCGGAGCCTGGCCCTGGGAATTCCGAGGCTTGGCGACCCGATCGCCCCACTCCTCCGCCCCCTGCGCAGCCCCAGAGTGGCAGGCCAAGCACCCTTTGAAGCTCCTTCCTCCAACACACCCACCCCAGCAAGGGCCTCCGGGCCCTTTCCTACGCAACCTACACTTCCCACCAAAGGAACCCAACTCTGCCACCTGATCCCAACGGGATTCAATGGCTTGCATTTTTGTTTGTTTACCCCCAACCCTTTTTGGTTTTGGCTTAGGGTATGGGGGAGGGGGAAAGGTGCTGATTCTCTTTACCAGGAAGACGGGCGGCGGGGGGCGGGGGTGTTTTACATGATTTTCAACTGACAATTCCTGTTCCAAGAAAATGTGGTCTCTAGCCTCAGATTCTAGGAGACTTGGGGAACTAGGCTGCTAGGCTAGTCTGGTTTATTGAAGACTTAGGGGGCTGAAAAACAGACTGGGCCAAAGTGACATGAAATCCACATGTAAGGGACAGGGTTGGCAAGGGACCTGTGGAGATTACCAGACACTGGCCATCTGTGGAGGCGGCCTTCCCACAGTGTTAACAAATAAGTTCCTTATCCTTGCTCTTATCCCTCCTACAAATATTTTGAAGTGCAAGAAGACCGTTTGACCTCTTTCCAACTCCCTTGACTCTTTATCACCCTTGGGTGTTTACTATGAGGGTTTTTTTTTTTTCTTTTTGCCATTTCATTTCCAGTCCACCCTACTGAACCTTTGACTGCCTAGAGCTCTCTATGCGGGGGTGAGGGACACTCAGGAATGGCCTGCCCCTGCCAAGCTCCTCTTCTCCTTGGACAGGAAGAGAACTATTAATTACAGTGTCTCCCTTGCTATTACAGAAGATCCTAGCCACCTAAAATAGCATCAGATTAAAAATTGTTTGTTTCATTTTTTACATGTTGATTGAAATATCTTCCTCGGTATTCAGTTGTTTCAAACATATTTAGTAATGAGAAATATTGTAAACTGACATCACACCCTATCACAAATCTTAGGGCATTCCTAATGCAGTGTGATGATTACTTGCATTCTTTACATTACATTCCTTCCCCGTCTGTGTCTTAGGTCTTCCATCCACTGAGCTTCTTGTTTATTTTCATGCAACTTAATAAAAAGAGTTATGGTATATTTAATCAAATGAACAATAAAAGTTAAACAGAAACATCTAAATACCAATAAAAAGAAATAAAGCCTTAGACATTTTTACTTACCCGTAAAGCACTAGGGAGTGGCATACCATTCAAAATCAACTTCCATTTCTTTTCTAGACCTTCTTTAGTAGAACTTTACACAGTTTTTCATAGACGGATGATGCAGCTAGAACATAACTAGGGAGCAGTGGAATGTTACAGTTAAAGCAAAATTCCACCTGAGCTAGGAGAAAAACAACGGTGCCGTAATTAATAGTTCAATTGTGTCAATTTGTGTCAGTTGTAAGTGAGTGTTTTCCTGTGTTATTCTTTGCTGTTTTAGTATGAACAGGAAATGGTATCCTGCTCCAAATAGCACATAGCACATGGCATACTTTCTCATAAGTTTTAGAAATTTGGTTCTAAGTTGTCTGTGTAGCAACTGAGGTATTAAGAACAATTCGATGTTTTCAATAAAATTGAAAAGTGTCTTTTGCAAATTTGCTCTCATTTTGTGAAAAATACTACTGAAAATTAGTAACTAGCATAATATCAGAAATTAACTTTGTAGCAAATTTATACTAATATTTAACAGCATGTGTCACTGATACAAAACTGTCTTTTTTATTGTGGGGTTTTTTTTTGGTTTGGTTTGGTTTTTGTGTTTCAAGACAGGGTTTCTCTGTGTAGTCCTGGCTGTCCTGGAACTTGCTTTGTAGACTAGGCTGGCCTCGAACTCAAAGATCTGCCTGTCTCTGCCTCTGCTTCCCAAGGGCTGGCATTAAAGGCCTGCTGACTTAAAACCGACTTAATCATAATTTTATGTAACATGTCCATGAGTAGAAGACTATTTGGAAAGAGACACAGGAATAATTATTGAAGTTTTATTTAGATTTTGACAAACCAAGAGGATTGTCTGTTACAATGTAGTCTGTACCTTTCTAGAGAGCAGAATATTTGTGCATCAAAGAGTATCAATCCATGACACAGCACCAAACTTTTCTCGTCTCTGACTATTCAACTTTCTTGTTCCAGTATTTTTTGGGCACCCAACATGTCTACCAGGCCTGGTGACCTGACTTTGAGCCATAGGGTGGAAGGAGGGGACTGTCTTCTGCAACTTGTCCTCTGACCTCCACATACACATTGTAGTGTACATACCCAATATGTCATGGACATATTACACAATTATGATTAATTATATAATTTTCTATTTCCCAACAATGTTCCACACATGAAACCTAATGATGAATACATTTGAATTCATATAAGTTTTAATTTATATCACAATAACATGAACAAGGATAAAATGTAAACTATAAGCTGTGAAAAAATATTTTTTTGTGAATGACAAGGCTAATTATCATAATGTATAAGGAACTCTTAACAAGTTAGTAATATGAAAAGTGGTGGCGCACGCCTTTAATCCCAGCACTCGGGAGGCAGAGGCAGGCAGATCTCTGTGAGTTCAAGGCCAGCCTGGTCTACAGAGTGAGTTCCAGGAAAGGCGCAAAACTACACAGAGAAATCCTGTCTCAAAAAACCAAAAAAAAAAAAAAAAATGGACAAAGGCTATGAAGAGTTGAATTACTGAAGAATACAGGTGGCTAATGAATACATAAAACAATGTTCAATTTAGCCAGGTGTGGTGGCACACGCCTTTAATCCCAGCACTGGGGAGGCAGAGCCAAGCAGATCTCTGTGAGTTCAAGGCCAGCCTGGTCTACAGAGCGAGATCCAGGACAGGCACCAAAGCTACACAGAGAAACCCTGTCTCGAAAACAAACAAACAAAACAAAAAACAAACAAACAAAAAACCCAAGTGCTAGAATTAAAGGCATGTGCCACCAGGTCTTGCTCTTATTTTTAATAAGTATAGTATTAACTAGGTAACTTTTGGTGATTACATTTATCTGGGGGAGGGGGAACGAGTGTGCAATCATATGTACACTACAATGTGTATGTGGAGGTCAGAGGACAAGTTGCAGAAGACAGTCCCCTCCTTCCACCCTATGGCTCAAAGTCAGGTCACCAGGCCTGGCAGCAGGTGTCCGTCCACTAGGCATCTTTCCAGTTCTTATGTAAGCACTAATATATCATGCACCAGTAAGCAGTTTGTTTTGGTTCTTTTGTTTGAAAACGGTTCTTGCTGTGTATCCCAGGCTGGCTTGAACTCCTAGCACTCCTCCTGTCTGAGCTCTCCGAGTGCTAGGATTATAGGTGTATGCCCCCACACGCAGCAGGTTCTCGCTTTCTTACACCTGTGCTGCGCCATGTATACACACATACATGCACAAATAATGCAAAAACTGAAGCTGTACTATGATGTCATTATAAAATGTCCTTAAACTGACAAAATTACAGTTCACAATCGACTCATACTTGACACAGATAAGATTTGGGGAATGGGTATGCCTATTAAGAGGTGACATGAAGGAGTTTCTTTGTGGTAATTGAACAACTGTAGATCCTGATTGTGCCGATCACTCAAATATAAATATTTAATAAAATTTCATGTAACTACACCCACTTCATGGAAAAATTGGCTAAATTCAAATATGTACACGAGCTGGCAATATTGTATCAAAGTTAATTTCCTGCCTTTGACAGGGCACTGTTGTTATGGTTACTATTATCATTAAACAAAGCTGTATGAAGGGTACATGACATTTTGTATTATATTTGAAGGGGTTTGTGAGCACTAAACTATTTAAAAAATTTTAGATATAATAAAAATATTCAGCCAGACACAGTGGTGCACATGTCTACTCAGGAGCCTGACATAAGAGCACAGGAGTTCAAATCCAGACTAAGCAAAATATCGAGACTTTTGTCTCAAAAAAAAATTCATACTGCTAACAAAAGAAAAAAATACCTCTTGTCAGTGGAAAGATAAGTACCCTTTATCAAAGAAGTGCATCAAATTCCTAGCTTACAGTCATTTTCGTGACCTTAGAGATATGACTAATTTCCAAGATCCCTATCATTCCTTGTTGCCTAAGAGGCTGATGCTGCAATACTTAGAGCAGACCTTTGACCTGTGGCACCAACAGGAAATAGCCATACCTATAAACCTGATCTAAGCCGGGTGGTGATGGTTGCACGCCTTTAATCCCAGCACTCAGGAGGCAGAAACAGGCGGATCTACAGAACCAGTTCCAGGGCTACACAGAGAAACACTGTCTCTAAAACAAAACAAAAGCCTCATCTAAAACAAATCACACTTTTTTTTGTTTTGTTTTGTTTTTCAAGAAAGGGTTTCTCTGTGTAGTTTTGGTGCCTGTCCTGGATCTCGCTCTGTAGACCAAGCTGGCCTCGAACTCACAGAGATCTGCCTGGCTCTGCCTCCTGAGTGCTGGGAGTAAAGGCATGCGCCACCACCGCCTGGCACAAATTACACTTTTTAAAGACATCTTAAATACCATATTACTGGATTTTCTGATTCTTTTGACTTTGACTATGCAGTCATCCCAATGAGTCAATGGAATTGAAGGTGCATCTACATACTAAAGACTAAATCTCTCTCTCTTTCTCTGTGTATGTGTCTGTGTCTGTCTGCCTTTCTGTGTTATTCTCTCTCTATCTCTCTCTATGTGTGTGTGTGTGTGTGTGTGTGTGTGTGTGTGTGTGTCTGTGTGTGTGTCTGTCTCTCTCTCTCTCTCTCTCTCTCTCTGTCTGTCTGTCTGTCTGTCTGTCTCTCTCTCTCTCTCTCTCTCTGTTCTTGAGACAAGATCTCTCTATGTAGCCCCAGCTGTCCTAGAACTTGCTAAGTAGACCAGGCTGGCCTTGAACTCACAGAGATTCACCTGTCTCAATCTCCTGAATGCTGTGATTAAAGGTATGCACCACCACTCAGCCTTTTGTTTGTTTGTCTTTTGTTTTGGTTTTTTGGTTTGTTTTTTGTTTGTTTGTTTTTTGGTTTTTGTTGTGTTTTTTTTTTTTCAGACAAGGTCTCACTATGTAGCCCTGGCTGGTCTGGAACTCACGATGTAAACCTGACTGGCCCTCAAACTTACAGAGATCTGTCTGCCTCTACTGCCCAAGGTCTGGAATTAAAAGCATGCACCACCATATCCGGCTCAATTATGCAATTTCTTATTGGCCCACATTGCTTACATTCCTGCTTCTATAACATCGAGGTGTATCTGGAATCTCCTGAGGGACAGGTGTGGTAGCACACACCTGTAATCCAAGTACTGGAAAAGTGGAGGCAGGAAGACCAGGAGCTCAAAGCTAGCCTGGGCTATGTGAGACCCTATCTCAAAAATTAAAATTAAAAAAAAAGATCCTGAGTGAGGTAACCCAAACCCAGAAGGACAAACATGGTATGTACTCACTCATAAGTGGATTCTAGATATAAAGCAAAGAACAATCAGACTGCAACCCACAGAACCAGGGAGGCTACTTAGCAGGGGGGACCCTAGGATGACTGTGGCTTATAATAAGTTTTGGGTTTACTCAATTACTGAGTAAGCCTCAATGAAACATTTCACTATTAAGATAAGAATTTATACTGTATCAAGATGATAATAGAAAAATAATTAAATAATTTAAAAAGAAAAGAAAAGAACTAGGGATCTTCCTTAAATGCCAATTTTGTTTTGAGAAGTCTAGAGTTAGTGTGAGACTTGTGATTGATTCTCCATATCCAGCAAACTTCCAGGACACACCTATGCTGGTAGTGCAGGCTTTGAAGTGAAAACCTGAAGAACAAAGTCTAAAATCTTTAGGGTAGTTTTTAGTACCTTCCCCACTCATCTAAATTTCATCACTCCTCAAAGTGAAGTCTGATGGAGTAATATCTCTATTGTTCAAGGTTCTATTTCCTTTACTTTGCAGAGAAAATAAGTGGTAGTTTGGAAATGCTACTGAGGATGTTAGGAAAGAGGAACCTTTACACACTGCTTGGTGGGGATAAAATCTGGTGCAGCAACTATGGAAATCAACATGGATGTTCCTGATAAAGCTAAAAGTAGAACTGTAATTTGCAGGAAAATAGGTGGAACTTGAAATCATTATGTTAAGCAAAATAAGCCAAATTGAGAAATCAAACTATCACGTGTTTTCTCTCATTCACAGAATCTAGATTATTCAGGAATGTATGTGTGAGCCTGGCAGTGATGGTGCGTGCTTTTTATCCAGCACTTGGGAATCAGAGGCAGGCAGATCTCAGTGAGTTCAAGGCCAGCCTGGTCTACAGAGCAAGTTCCAGGACAGCTTGGGCTACACAGAGAAACCCTGTTTTGAAGCACCTCCCCCCTAAAAAGAAAAGAAAAGAGAAAAAGACTGTGTGTATTATGTGACTTACGTGTGTGTATGTAGACATGCAAACAGAAGAGAGACCATGGGAGTAGAAGAGATCTCACAGAGGAAAAGAGGGTAATGGAATACAACTTACATAAAAGCAGAAAGGGGAACTATTGGGGGAGAAGAGGGCCAGCAAGGACTTTAGAGAAGGGCAGTTGGGCAATCAGATAACAAACTACACTGACACTTATTTGTTGAAAGTCTGAGGACATAACTCAGTGACAGAATGCATGATTAGCAATGGGAAGACTCTAGGTTAAAAGCCATATGCATAGGTGGGTGTGTATTTGTTGAATGAAAGAATGAACTAGTAAACAACTACACCCTGCTCATGTGCCACATAGTTTGGTTTGGTTTGATTTGTGTGTGTTTGTGTGTGTGTGTGTGAATCAGACACACATGAATCAGACCCAGGGTATCTTGTATTCCAGGCAAGTACTCTACTAATAAGATACATATCCGGCCCCTAGCCAAACATTGTAAGCAAAACAAATTACCTAGTACTTTTGAAGCACTTTCCCACCCCTGTACCCAAACTATTTCTCTTTCTTTTCTCAAGATTTTCTCCATTCAATCTTATACAATCTTTTTTGGTTTGGTTTGTTTGTTGTTGTTTTTTTGTTTTGTTTTGTTTTTTTTGGTTTTTTCGAGACAGGGTTTCTCTGTGTAGCTTTGCGCCTTTCCTGGAACTCACTTGGTAGTCCAGGCTGGCCTCGAACTCACAGAGATCCGCCTGGCTCTGCCTCCCGAGTGCAGGGATTAAAGGCGTGTGCCACCACCGCCCGGCCTGTTTTTTGTTTTTGAGACAGGGTTTCTCTGTGTAGCCCTGGCTGTCCTGGAACTCTCTGTAGACCAGGCTGGCCTTGAATTCACAGAGATCCACCTGCCTCTGCCTAAGTGCCTCCTAAGGGATTAAAGGGGTGCACCACCACTGCCTGGCAATTTTATACAATCTTACATTTCTAATTTAAATATGGAAATTATGTCTCTCATTTTGGAAGTCATCTCTCTAACCAGGTTTGGGTTTAATTAATTTTTTTAAAGATTTATTTATTTATTATGTATACAGAAGAGGACACCAGATCTCATTACAGATGGTTGTGAGCCACCATGTGGGTGCTGGGAATTGAACTCAGGACCTCTGGAAGAGCAGTCAGTGCTCTTAACCTCTGAGCCATCTCTCCAGCCCTTAATTAATTTTTAAAGATGTATTTGTTTCATGTCTATAAGCACTTTGCCAGTATGTATATATGTCCATGACATGCGTGCCTGTTGCCTATAAAGGTCAGAAGAGGACATCAGATCCCCTGGAACTAGAGTTATGGATGTGAGCCACCATGTGGGTGCTGGAAACAAAATCTGGGTCCTCTGCAAGAACAAGTTTTCTTAACTGCTGAGCCATCTTTCCAGTCCCCCTACTAGGCTTTTTAATGCCTTAAAAATAGAAATCATAATAGCGGTTGTTTTTGCATTTATTATAACCTAATGTTAGCATGTAGTAGAAATCAATAATTTTTTACTACATTGAGATGAGAAAATAAATAATAATCTTGGTTGGCACTATTAGAATGTTTTGCCCTGGGTGTGGTAGTAAACACCTTTGATCCCAGCACCTGGGAGGTAGAGGCAGGCAGATCTCTGTGAGTTCAAGGACAGCCTCGTCTACATATCGAGTTCTGGGACCACCAGGGCTACATAGTGAGATTTTATCTAAAAAAACAATGTTTTGTAATGATGACAGTTTGCAAAACCGTATTGACTGATGTGGTAACCACATGTCACTCTTGAATACTTTTAATGTAGCTAGAGCATTTTTTATTTTAATTAGTTTTAATTAAAACTTAAATGTAAATAGTCACATGTGACTAGTGGCTACTGCACTGGGCAATGTCTATCTAGAGATTTGTGATTCCAGTTTTTTTTTTTCATTCAAAAGTATTTCCTGAGTATCCCATGGAACTCAGACACACAGTACTTTAGGAGTTGTTAATAGGAAAAATACTTGAAGAAGGTCCTTGAACTCAGGCAACTTGGAATCTATTAAGAAAAGAGACTAAGGCTCAAATCAATCCAAACAAGAGTTCCAGAGGACTGACAGCACGGGACGTGCACAAAGGAGAATGTGGCCGAGTCCCCAAAGGCAGGGAACAGTTGAGGTGGTATAGTATCCATTAAACAAACAAAAGACAGAGCACTTGTCCAGGAAGTCGTGGGAACAAAGATGTGAAAACCGAATGCCCACCTTGCCCTGGAAGTGTAAGACCTGTAGTTCATTTGGGCAATGGGGACGCAAGGACAGGGAACACCGTTCAAAGAACTGGAGGCAATTACACTGTACGGGTGGGGACGGACATATACAGCTTTCTATGTTGGTGGTGGGAATGCAAATTAGTCAGCCACTACAGGATAAGTGTGCCGATTTCTCAAAAAAAATTAAAATAGATCCTCCATATGATCCAGCTCTACTACCGCTGGGTAGTAGGAGTACCAAAAGGACTCCAAGTCAGCAACTTATGAGAGATTCTTGTACGCACTTGCAGGAGAGGCAGGTGGGAGGCCCAGGCACCAAGGTTATATGCAGCACTGATTCTGCTTATCAGTATTAAGTAGTTAAAATAACATGGGCTTTACTTATGTAGAAGAATGCCATGTGCATTATTTTTAGTGCCAGTTTACAAGAAATAGTGACCAAGGGAAGACCTATCAATTCAAACTCACCAACTACTTTAAAGGTACTATTTTGACACAGACTTTTTTTTTAAAATAGGGTCTAGTACACCCCAGGCTGCCTCGAATTAACTATGCTTTTGTTCTTACAAAAATGACAATCACAATATACAAATGAAAACATGTTCACCCTTACTAGCTGTCAGAGAAATTGCAGATCGAAATTACATTGAGATGCCATTCCATCCCAATAAGAATGGCAGTTGTTAAGAAAACAACACATGCTGGTGAGTTTGTGGACAATGGGGGGACTCTTGCACACCGTGGGAGGGAATTATAAACTAGTCCAGCCACTCTGGAAGTCCATATGGGGGTTCTTGAAAGAACTAAAAATAGATCTACCATGTGGTCCACTTGTGGATTATTACTGAAAGGACCCCAAGTCCACATCATGGAGATTCTTGCACATCAATGTCTATTGCAGCACTATACACAATAACTATATTATCGAACCAACTTAGGTATCCAACCAAAGAGGATACGTAAGGAAAATGTGTGTGTTAGATCAAAGGAGCTTCCCATGTAAAGGAGATCTGCCACACCTTATATATCCTAACTAGAACCTTCCCTAAACTGCTAATCTCCTAGCACTTTGTAACATCCTCAAGGTAGGGTGGGACAATACGATTAACTTCCTAAAGTACTGCTTTATAGCCTATCTAGTGACTTTCCTAATCTGCTAAATTTAGAGACTCCTATCCTCCAAACACAGAGACCTCTACCTTGTAGGACAATGATTCTCCACCTTCCTAATGTTTTGATCATTTAAATACAGTTCCTCATGTTGTAGTGACTCCCAACCATAAAATTATTTTCGTTGCCATTTCATAACTATAATTTTGCTACTGTTATGAATCGTTATGTAAATATCTGATATGTGACCCCTGTGAATGGGTCACGACCCACAGGTTGAAAGAACAATGTTGTAAAAACTATTGATGTAAAGAATTCCCTCCATTCTGAGAGGTGTTGAGGGGCCCCACCCACCTTATTCCAGTTTCCTCCTATTCGATTGGCCAGTGTTATTAAAAGATCCCATTGCCTAAAACCCACCTCAGCACATATCTCTACTGTACCTGGAAAGAATCTTTAGTATTTAAAACTATGGGGTTGGGGATTTAGCTCAGTGGTAGAGTGCTTGCCTAGCAAGTGCAAGGCCCTGGGCTCGAACCTCAGCTCCACAAAAAAAACCAAAAAAACCTATATGCGTGTGTGTGTGTGTGTGTGTGTGTGTGTGTGTGTGTGTGTGTGTGTGACTTTTTTCAGCTGTAAGAATGATGCTGTGTAGTATGCAGGAAATTGGGGGGGGGGCAACTAGAGATAATCGCATTAAATAAAATAAGCCAACCTCAGAAAGATATGTTTTCTCTCACTGCAGTTCCTAGCTCTTATAGCGATACATAAAATAACATGTACATAAGACATGGAAGTGAAAGGAAAACTAACTATGGTGACAGAGGACTAATGGGAAGAGGAAGGGTGAGAACAGGGAGGAGAGGGGAATGCGCTCAATATGCAGTGTTGTACCAAAAAGATTTTTTTTTAAAGAAAGAAATAACAATCAATTTGGAAGCAAAATCATATGTTATTCTTAGGCAGCAAAGGCCTTTGTCACCCCAAACCCAAAACAAGCATATTTTGCCTATTTCCCTACAATACTGAAAGGGATTTGCTTAAAATTAGCACGTCCCAGGAACCTCCAGAAAGATTGCTTTATTGGCACACAGACAAGCTTATAGATCAAAGGTCCTATTAGTAACTAAGGGACACTAAATAGCCACAAAGACTACTTGAATTTAAGTGCAGTATTTGTTCCACGTTAACTACCAGCATTAACTAAAATGTTCAAACCCCAGAACCACTGTCAGCATGTTTGCTGTTTGCTGATAACACCTCTAATGTTAGACACTAGAAATTAATGTTGTGGAAAGATTAAGAGGTGTGAAGACAGGAGGAGTGGGTATTTGCCAAGCACAAGAGGGCTAGAGATAGAAACTTCTGAGAAAATATTTTATTCCCCAAATACAGAAAATGCTCATATTATTCTTTTGGGGTTTTTTTTGAAGGGGTGCAGGGGGTTGGTTTTTCAAGACAGGGTTTCTCTATGTAACAGCCCTGGCTGTCCTGTAGACCAGGCTTGGCCTCAAACTCAGTGATCCGCCTGCCTCTGCCTCCTGGGTGCTGGGATTAAAGGCGTGCGCCACCACCGCCTGGCTTCAATTTTATTCTTTTTGTTTTGTTTTGTTTTTGTTTTTGTTTTTGTTTTTCGAGACATGGTTTCTCTGTGTAGCTTTGTGCCTTTCCTGAAACTCACTCTGTAGCCCAGGCTGGCCTTGAACTCACAGAGATCTGCCTCCCGAGTGCTAGGATTAAAGGCGTGCGCCACCACCGCCCGGCCAATTTTATTCTTTTTAACAGCTATTCAGGACATTCTTAGAGAAATGGACAAAGCTTGAGTGACTTATAGTGGAGTGTATTCCTGCTGATTGTTGTCTTGTGGTTATGCTAACTGGTGTGTTTATTCTTCAGAAATATGAACTCAAGGGAGAGGGGGGCTATGCATTTTAGTCTACTCAAGAGGTTGAGGCAGGATCTTGTTTGAGCTCAATAGTTCCAGACCATCCTGGGCAACCTTGTTGCAAAAAAGAAAGGAAGTCAAGTGTGACAACATAAACCTCTATTTCCCACATTTCAGAGCCTGAGGTAGGAGGACAGCAAGCCTCCATTTCAGAACAAAATAAGAAAAGGAAATACACCCTGAAGTATTTTTTCTTTCTTTTTTTTTATTTGAACATAAAAACAGATTATAATTCAAAAATCCAACACCCTGAAGTATTTAAGGCTAACGGGAGCATTATTTCTTTAAGTTACATACAAATGATTCAGAAAGAAAGCATGAATAAAATCCTTGTGTATACTTTACATTAGTACACTGTAGCGATACATTTATTTTTTGTGATTTAATTCTACAAATTTACAACCCGCCCGAAAACAAACAACAACATGGAGAAAACAAAACACCACCACCAAAAATGAAGGTTGTCCTGACTCAGCAGGTCTGCCTGTCCCACGTAGCTGGGCAGGGTCAGTCAATCTGATCTTAGAACTTGAGGCTGAAGCCAGGGCCAGCAGCTGAGGCTCCCTGGTTGGTGGTGGTGAGGTGGAAGCCTGTCTCCTTCAGGTCATCATCACCCAGCTGGCTGTAGCCCAGGCGGCCCTCGGCGGGGCATGGACTCGTGCCTCACTTCACCCTCTGCTGCTCACTCTTGGCCGGCCATGTGGGAAACATGGACGGGTCAATGGGGAGGGGAGTCTCTCGGAAATACTCATGCTTGAGGCCATCTTCTGCATTGATCCTCCTCACAGGATAGTATGTCAGGAACTTGTTCATGAGCTCAAAGCCCTGATCTGATAACAAAGCCCCAAATCGCTTGCGGAGGTTGTTATAGGGATACTTGCTGAAGGTCATCTTCTTGACTGCTGGGAGGTCATTATAGCCAGGCCAGATTTTCTCACTGGGAGTCCCCAGGTCCTTGAAAACCTTGTTGATCTGATCGATCTCTGACTTCCCAGGGAACAGAGGTTTCTGTGTCAGCAGCTCTCCAAAAATACAGCCCACTGACCACATGTCCACAGCTGTAGAGTACTCCTTAGCACCAAGCAGCAGTTCTGGGGCTCGATACCATAGGGTCACGACAACTGGAGTGTAGGCCTTCAGGGGTGAACCATACTCACGAGCCAGCCCAAAGTCACCGACCTTGAGAATGCCAGCATGGCTCAGCAGAAGGTTAGAGGTCTTAAGGTCACGGTGCAGGATCCAATTGTCATGGAGGTGCTTCACCCCACTCAGCAGCTGGATCATTAGGGTCTTCACCTCCCCTGGCAGAAAGGGCTGCTTCATGGTCTCCATTAGGCTCCTGAGGTCATTCTCAACATAATTCATCACAATGTAGATCGTGTCCATGTTGCTTCCCACAACGATTTCTCGGACAGTGACGATATTGGGGTGCTGGGCCTTGAGGATGGTGCTGATCTCCCTCAGTGAGGTGATTGGGAAGCCTTCCTTCTTCTCCATCTTTAGCCGCTTCAGAGCCACAATTTCATCTGTTTTCTTGTCCTTTGCTCTGTAGACTACTCCATAGGTGCCTTCTTCAATTCTGTTCAGGCACTGGAACTCCTCTACACTCCGGCATCCCTGCAGGGCTGGCAGGTACTTGGGCAGCTCCTGTTTTAGTTCAATGGGCGACAGGGCTGGAGAGTCAGGCACATAGTCTCCTTCCATTGGGGCACTGCTCTGTGGGGTCCCCTCACCCACTTCTTCCCCTTCTTCACTGTCCCCAGAATCTCGGTCAAATCGCGACTCTGGAACAACCAAGATATGGTTTTCATTTTCTCTCTCTTCATCTTCACTCATTTCTTCATCACTCACTTCTTCCGCAGGCTGTTCTGAGGCTTCCTCAGAGTTGCTCCCAGTCTCCTCTTCCTCTGATTCTTCATTGGTGCTCCCTTCTTCCTCTTCCTCCTCCTCCTTCTCAGAACCTGAGCCTGATTCTGCTAATGAAGACTCGGCTGAGCTGGTCTTCCTCTCACTGTCACTGATGCCCTGTAGGTCTGACAGAAGGTCTCTTTCTTCTACTTTCTCTTCTTTCACTGGTTTACGGTTGTCTCCCAGCTCAACGCGCTCTCGAGGTGGCCGCAGAGGGCAGCGGCTCCAGTGGCCAACCTTTCCTTTATCACTGTAGTCCTCCCCCATGGTACGGTGCTGTGCAGAGACTTCCCTACATGCTTCTCTCTCTTTGTGAGGCTCTTTTGCCCTCCGTTCCTGCTCATTTTGTTCCCGCTGTTCCTTCTGTTGCTCCCTCATCTTGCGCTTCCGCTCCCTCTTCCTTTCTAACTGCTCCACGCCTTCCCTTTCTCTCCTGGAATGTTCTCTTGCCATTTCTCTCTTCTTCTGTCTTTCCCATTCTCTGCGAGCTTTATCTTGTACTTCTCGATGGCGTTTCCGACGTTCATGTTCTCTTTCTTTCACTCTAGCGTGCTTCCCTCCCTCTGCTGAATGGCTACCATGTCTACGCTTCTCTTTTCTCTTCTCATCTTTTCTGTGATGAACTTTTTCTTTCTGGGACATTTGCTGGGGTGGTTTAATGGCCAGAGAATTATCTTCCTCTCCTCTATCTTCCAGAGAATCGTCTCTTCTATATGGTGAGTTCCTGATTGTGGTTTCCATTGGGTCATCTCTCAGCTCCCCCTCCTCAAGGGAATCCCCGTCATCAGAAATTTTTAAGTGTTTTATCTCTGCTTTCTCCTTTTGTTTTTTCCTTCGTTTCTTTTCCTGGAGAATTTCATCTAACATTTTCACTTTCCAAGAGTCCTTTTCATCACCCATTTGAATTAAAACACCCTGCGCCTCTGCCACCGTCGCTGCCGCCGGTCCTGGAGTTTGAGAAGTATATTTGTAATCTAAGAACTAAAGATCAGACAACAGAGCCAGCCACAGAATTATAGAGGTCAGGCAGTGATGGTACACACCTTTAATCCTAGCACTGGGGAAACAAAGATCCTTCTGGATCTGAGTTTAAAGACACCCTGGACTACACAAGATTAATCCAGTTTAAAAGAGAAACAGCCAGGCCGTGGCGGCACACACCTTTAATTCCAGCACTTGGGATCACACACCTTTAATCCCAGTACTTGGGAGTCACACGCCTTTAATCCCAACACTTTCCTAGTTGAGGCAGGAAGTTATATGGCTAGGCAGAGAAAGGAATATAAAGCAGACGAGACAGGAATTAGGCCCTTTTGGCTGAGGACTCAGAGGCATTCGATCTCAGGATTCGTGGAGACAGGACCTTCTCTTTTCGGCTGAGGAGTTGGTGAGGTGAGAAGTGGCTGTGGCTTGTTTCCTCAGATCTTTCAGCATTTGCCCCAATATCTGGCTCAGGTTTTCATTATAAGACTGTAGCACGAATCTTAAACGGTCTTATTAATAAAACAAACCTGGGGGGCAGATATTGGGGTTAACACTGAAAGATCAGAGAAACAGAACCAGCCACAGCTAACCTCGCCTTGCCAGTGCCTCAGCTGATCTCGTTTACTCAAACTGGAAGCCTCTGTGGCCTCATCTGAATGAATCTCAGCTGAACTGCTGCTAAAAGCCTAAAAGCTTAACCAGGGTCTAGTTCCTCGTCCTCACACCTTATATACCTTTCTGCTTCCTGCCATCCCTTCCTGGGATTAATATCATGCCTGGTTGTTTCCAGTGTGGCTTTGAACTCACAGAGATCCAGACAGATCTCTTCCTCTGGAATGCTAGGATTAAAGGCGTGTGCTACCACTGCCTAAACCTATGTTTAATATAGTAGCTGTTCTGTTCTCTGACCCCCAGATAAGTTTATTGGGGTGCACAATATATCAACCACATAAGACCATTTAGGATTCTTACAACAGTGTACTGGTCTGCAAAGGCCAGCTAGCAGCAGCTCACAAAAGCTGATTGTGCAATTGTCTTCCTAACTCTGGTCCCATGATCTCACAATAATACCCCCATGGAAATCAGCAAGCACAGTGGACCAATGCTACCTATACTATGCATGGCCAATCATTAAAATATTAATAAAAATATCCATCTGGGTTCTGATTGGTGGCACATGCTGATAGTCTCTGCACTGAGAAAGCTGAGTAGAATGGATAGCTAGTTCAATGCCAGCCCAAGCTATAAAGTGCTATGGGATGTCTTTCTGTATGCTGTGAATATGTATGGCTCCCATTGGATAATAAATAAAGCTGTTTTGACCTATGCCAAGAAAGCTTACAGCCAGGTGGGAAATCTAAGCAGAGATACAGAGAGAAGAAAGGCTGAGTCGGGAGAGACACCAGCTACCACCACCAAAGGAGCAATAAGATGCCAGCAGACTGGTGATGCTATGGCCTTGTGGCAACGTATAGATTAATAGGCATGGGTTAATTTAAGATGAAAGAGCTAGCTAGTAAGATGCTAAAGCCATAGGCCATACAGTTTGTAATTAATAAAAGCCTCTGAGTGATTATTTTATAAGCAGGTGGAGGACCATTGGGGTGGACCTCGGGGTGGGCAGGACTGGAGAAACTTCCAACTACAGTAAAGACCCTGTTTCAAATTCAAAACAAAACAACCCACCAGTGTGGTAAATACACAACTACTAATAGTTGTAGGTAGAGTTTTCCTGCCTGGCCCACGGTCAGGACAAATCTCTCTCACCCGCCAGTCCCAAGCCGCTCAAACCCGACCAAGTAAACACAGAGACTTATATTGCTTACAAACTGTATGGCCGTGGCAGGCTTCTTGCTAACTGTTCTTACAGCTTAAATTAATCCATTTCTATTAATCTATACCTTGCCACATGGCTCATGGCTTACCGGCATCTTTACATGCTGTTTCTCATCATGGCGGCTGGCAGTGTCTCCCTCACTCAGCTTCCTGTTCTCTGGGACTCTTAATCTCAGGGTCGTGGGTTCGAGCCCCACGTTGGGCGCCATTTGTTGCTAAAGTTTTCCTGCCTGGCCCACAGTCAGGACAAATCTCTCTCACCCGCCAGTCCCAAGCCACTGAAACCCGACCAAGTAAACACAGAGACTTATATTGCTTACAAACTGTATGGCCGTGGCAGGCTTCTTGCTAACTGTTCTTACAGCTTAAATTAATCCATTTCTATTAATCTATACCTTGCCACATGGCTCGTGGCTTACCGGTACTTTACATCTTCCTTGTCCTGATGGCGGCTGGCAGTGTCTCCCCGACTCAGCCTTCCACTTCCCAGCTCTATTCTCCTCCTTGTCCCGCCTACACTTCCTGCCTGGCCACAGGCCAATCAGTGATTTATTTATTGACCAATCGGCAACACATTTGACATACAGACCATCCCACAGTAAAATTAATATAAAAAATAAGCCCCGTAAAGATGGATATCACACAGAGAATCTGGATTGTGTTGTCTTTGGGATTCTTAACTACAGAGAGATATTTGATTGTAAAGAAAGCTGAGTTAAACCAATATGCATATTTTAAAGATACCTTGACTTCAAAATTTGGATATAAGGATATGTTACTTTGGAAAGGAGACTCTGCTTTTGTTTCCACAGAAAGCCAGAAGCTATGGATTTGTTCCAGATTAAGACACATCAGATTTGACCAGCCAAGACCACCTGAAAGGTCTCCGATGACACCATGGCCCAGATGATCCAACATCCAGAACCGTTTCAAGGCAACTGGCTCAGATGATACAGCCTCACGGACTACTCCATGATCCTAAAATTTTCTTTGTTCCCCCAGAAGATACAGCGCCCCCCTCCAGCAGGAAGTAGTAAGAGAAGCTACGCCCAAATTCCCAAATATACCAAGCTGACTTTGGAGATGTGTAAAGGTTAAAACCTTCCTTTTTAAGAAAAGAAAAGGGGAAGTGCTGTGGGATGGTCTGTATGTCAAATGTGTTGCCGATTGGTCAATAAATAAATCACTGATTGGCCTGTGGCCAGGCAGGAAGTGTAGGCGGGACAAGGAGGAGAATAGAGCTGGGAAGTGGAAGGCTGAGTCGGGGAGACACTGCCAGCCGCCATCAGGACAAGGAAGATGTAAAGTACCGGTAAGCCACAAGCCACGTGGCAAGGTATAGATTAATAGAAATGGATTAACTTAAGCTGTAAGAACAGTTAGCAAGAAGCCTGCCACGGCCATACAGTTTGTAAGCAATATAAGTCTCTGTGTTTACTTGGTCGGGTTTCAGCGGCTTGGGACTGGCGGGTGAGAGAGATTTGTCCTGACTGTGGGCCAGGCAGGAAAACTTTAGCTACAAATAGTAATATGCTATCCTCTAATCATCTGGAATTAACTTTGACATGTATCTTCCCAAGAAGGTAAATATATGCACTATCCTAACTTTGTAGTAATTTATCATATAATGGCTTTGTTCAAGCATACTGCTTTCCTTTCAGGCTTCCATTGCTTCATGGGACTTTGAGAAGGCATGCAGAATGAATGCATTCTGTCTCTTGTCCCTTCATTCTAGCTCCTAGAAACTGTATGGAAGATACACAGAAGAGCATCTAGAGCTGTGCTTCTTTCTTTTAGAGAAATTCAACAGTCAAGAAATTAACTTCTCACCAGGTGGTGGTGGCACATGTTTTTAATCCCAGCACTCAGGAGAGAGGGGCAAGAGGATCTCTGTGAGTTTGAGACCAGCCTGATCTATAGAGTGAGTTCTAGGACAGCCAGGACTGTTACACAGAGAAACCCTGTCTCAAAAACAAGCAAACAAAGAATAAGAATGAACTTCTTGTACACAGCATGATGTCCTGCATAAGAGTTAGGAGCAGCACCCCTCTTCTTTTCCCTTAATTTTTCATAAACCCTTCCAGAACAAATTTTTGCCAGGCACAGTGGCACACCTGTGGTGATATTGTGTTCCCCAAAATTATTGTGCACCCTAATAAACTTATCTGGGGTCAGAGAACAGAATAGCCACTAGATACAGAGTCCAGAAAATGGTGGCATACACGACTTTAATCCCAGCACTCGGGAGGCAGAGCCAGGCAGATCTCTGGTAGTTCGAGGCCAGCTTGGTCTACAGAGCAATATTCAGGACAGGCACCAAAACTACACAGAGAAATCCAGTCTTGAAAAACCAAATTAAAAAAAAAACAAACAGATTTGTTTTAGAGCCAGGAGGAGGATGCAGCTATCACTGAGCAAGACCTGGAATTTATTAAAGAGAGGGAAATGGCGATTCGGCAGGTGGAGACTGACATTTTGGATGTCAGTCAGATATTTAAAGATTTAGCTATGATGATCCATGACCAAGGTGACCTGATAGATAGCATAGAAGCCAATGTGGAAAGTTCAGAGGTCCATGTGCAAAGAGCCACTGATCAGCTGCAAAGAACTGCTTACTATCAGAAAAAAAATCTCTCAAGAAGATGTGTATCCTGGTGCTTGTCCTGTCAGTGGTTCTTACGGTCTTGGGAGTGGTTATCTGGCTTGCTTCTAAATGAGCTGTGGTTGCCTCAGAGCCTTCTCCTGCTGAGTTGTTTTCAAGGGCAAGTGCTCCATGGAGTCTTGCCAGAACAAACTGACCACAGAAGAGAGCATGTACCAGAGTGTCCTGTGATAATTTAGCTAGAAACTAACTACTAACTAGTCCTTGGAATTAGTGACCCATGGAGACAGTATCTATCATTTATGCATACATTCTATTGATTTCTCAGATAAGGAATTAACTTATGTGTGTTTTCCTTTTTCTTGTGTTTTGATTGCCCTTCATCACAAGTGTTTATTGCCAGTTCTATTGTGGATATTCTTTTGGACAGGCAACATTACAGTCTCATAATATTGTTTTTTTTTTTGTATATACACAAACTTTACCTTTTTATGAGCATCTGAGATAAATTTCCTTCAGGAGCCAGCCTATTGAAGTCTGAGAAACTGTACAATATGCCAGCAATTTTATTTAACATTTTGATTTGAGTTTCTGAGGGGTCTGCTCTTTGTTTTGCAAAATTTTGGCACTATATGTAACTGGGGAATAAGACACTGTACCTGTAACTTCAGGGGAAAAGAAAAGAACCTGTCTGTCGGAGTAGCCCATTGCTAGGGAGTGTATCAAAGGCTGGGTTTAAGTTAAATTGACTTTATTATCTGCTGGTGTCTTTTACAGACTCCATCCCCACACACTGAGTCATTAAAAGTCCTGTTTTATTTTTTATTTTTTTGTTAGCATTTTTTGTTGGTTTGTTCTTTTTGTAATTTCTTTCTTTTTATCTATTTATTTATTTGTTTGTTTAATCTTTTTTTCTATCATCAGTTTGATACAGTATAAATTCTTATCCTAATAGTGAAATGTTTCACTGAAGCTTGCCCAGTGATTGAGTTATCCTACTCCTGTTTTAAAGAGGTTCGTTTCATTATAACATTGTTATAATCACATGGGTACCTCTTCCACTTGTCTGCATAGAAAGGGAGAATTAGGCACAGAATGATTTTGAAAAGCAAATAGGGATTGTTTGGAATGATTCTATCTTGTTCACTTGTGGCTTACATTCCTGGTGGATGATAAATGTTGCTGTCAAAGGCTGTTCCCGAGCCTTATAAGGGTTGCCTGGCTTTGATAGCAAGATTTTAAAATTTAGACTGAAATGGGGTTTAAAAATTAAGTCTGTGACCCTATTGATAAAGCAAAGAAAAGGTTCATTTTTGTAAATAATGCTGGTTTAGTGATGTTAGACTTAGCCTAATTTATGAACAAGAGATCAAACTTGACATAGTTTTAGACAAAAACAGTTTTAATAAAAGGTTGCTGTCTTGTAATATAAATGTTGTCCACTGCCCTTTTTCACAGGCCTAGAAACAGGTAGAGAGAGTGTAATTGGTTTAGGCATTCAGATAAATGTGAATTGAGTCTGAAAATGTCAGCTCGTCCTTCACTGAATTGGAGGATTTGGCTGCTGTTGGTGTATTTATGTTTATTTCCTCTATTTCTCTTAATGTTACTTAATCTTCTTCTACACTAATGTGATCAGTAGGGAAATAAGGGCCCAAGTGCATAAGTTTCTTTGCACTTTTGCACCATCCTGCCTACTTAATACAAATAAACATTTAAAAGCTAAAAAAAAAAAAGAGTGCCTGCTTACTGAACACCAATGTGGCAAAATATTAATAAGCAAATAAATAAATAATCACTTTCACAACATCTTTAGGAAGACTATAAAATTTGAATATGACAAGGTTTCAAAAGAACTCCCAGAAGAAATGTAATGAGGTTAGTAGTCTCTTTAAGGTCTCAATCATCAGAGACATCTTAACCAGGGTCTTTATTCCTTTATGAGTTGCTGAAACATTCTTAAGGTTTATAGCCTACCATTCGAAGCAAGTTAAGACCAATAAAACACCCACTTGACAAACTCAGGCTTATTTCCCAAGAAGAAACAACAAAACAGAATTTGAAAAGGCATTCATTTTTACAACTGTTGTGACACAGTGCTCAAAAACCTTTGAAGTACAATGATCAATTGGTATTTTTATACATGATATAAAAATAGTATGCTGATTGATTGGAGGTCAAGATCTAGCCTTCAATCTGCAGGTAGTAGCACATGAAAATCAAAAGGCAATCAAAGATTAATAAGACCAGTGTTTGTTAAGACATCATTACTATACCAAAATAGGATTTTGATGCCCAAGAGGATGGCTGCACACCTTAGAAACACATAAACACTACTGATTTTGAGAAGATTAGAAAAGGTGAGACGCAGGTTCTTTGCCCATTAAAAAATGAAAACAAGCCGGGTGGTGGTGGCGCATGCCTTTGATCCCAGCACTCGGAGGCAGAGGCAGGTGGATCTTTGTGAGTTCAAGGCCAGCCTGGGCTACCAAGTGAGTTCTAGAAAAGGTGCAAAGCTACACTGAGAAACCCTATCTCGAAAAACCAAAAAAAAAAAAAAAAGAAAACAAAGCCATGGTTTGTAGATGTAACCAATCGTCTTATTAAATAAGAAACATAGAACCAATGCAAAGAAGAAAGCCAAGAGGTCAGAGCTAAGAGCTAAAACCTCACCCTTCCTCCTGTGGTGGTCCTACCACTCCGAAAAGGAGAGCTACTTCCTGTGTTAAAGTCTTTATATAGACTTTCTGTTCTGCCTTCTCATTGGTTGTAAACCCAACCACATGACCACCTCGTCACTGCCTGTCTGTATAGACCTCCAGGTCTTCTATGGTTGGTATTGAGATTAAAGACATG